ATCTCAATCTCTTCACCATCCATACTGATGCTGCCAATTGGCCCAGTGGTGAGAATCTTTGTTTTCTTGATGTTGAACTTCAATCCATATTGAAGACTGCAGTCCTTGACCTTCTGCGGCAAGTGTTTCAGGTCCTCCTCAGTTTCAGCAAGCAGGGTTGTGCCATCCACACTAATACAGGTTGTTGATGATTCTTCCACCAATTCTGATGCCACATTCCTCCTCGTATAGCCCAGCGTCTCGGATGATCTGTTCTGCATACAGATTGAAAAGGTATGGAGACAAAATACATCCCTGACGAACCCCTTTCTTGACTTTGAACCATCTAGTATCTCCCTGCTCTGTTCTGAGGACTGCTTCTTGGTCCAAGTATAGGTTTCGCATTAGCACAATCAAATGTTCTGGGATCCCCACTCTTCTCAGAGTCAGCCATAGCTTGTGATCCACACAGTCAAAACCCTTTGCATAGTCAATGAAGCACAGATAGACATTCTTCTGGTATTCTCTGCTTTCTGCCAACATCCATCTAACATTAGCTATAATATCCCTAGTACCACGACCTCTTAACATTTAATAAAGTGTTATTAAATATTAACATTAAAATATATTAAATGATTAACTAAAATGCAAAACTTGTTATTATGCCAATAGATGACGGAGATGAAAACTTGAACGTGTTAATTCTATTTGTATGACATTAGAAACCCTGGTGGTATAGTACATTACACGCTTCGTTTCTAAGCAGTCAATGGCTCTAATCTGCCAACTATAAGATGGAAGAAGGATGATGTCATATCTTCCTACAAAGATTTAAGTCTCAGAAACCTGCTGGATGAATTTTATGACTCGGAATTGACTCAAGTTTAGTGGGTTGTGTTTTTGTTTTGTTTTGTTTTGTTTTTTTACCCGGAAGAGTTATTTTAATTTTCTATTAAACATTCTTCCCAAAGCATTATTTTACCCTATATATTTCATTGAGTTATAAGAAATAGTACCATTAGCATTAGAAAAACCTGTGAAAAAGATAAATTAACTGAGGGTAATCAATCAGGCAAAATGTATATGAAAAAGGAAAATTAGAACTGACAGCTTTACATTTTGAGTTAAATTAATAGACTAATTTAGAAACCGTGCATCTCAAAGCAAGATTTTTATTTTTTCAGATTAGTTCTTTTCTGACTCTTTTTCAGGAAGGAAATCTTTTTAAAAATACTCTTACTTTAAAAATAGGCCTGTGTTCATGTATAGATGTTTCATCCCTCAAATGCTAATCATATTTCTTTTGCTTTGGGAAGACAATAACATTCTGACTGCATAAAATGAAAAAATTTTTTTTTAATTTAGTTTGTTTATTTCTCATTTCAATGAACCTCTACAGAGATTTTCGAATTCCATTCATTCATTGTTGCACCCTTCTCCCCGCACAAACAGCCCCCCCCCGACCCCCCGTTTGCTCCTCTCCTTGAAAAGCCAAAGAAAAACTCCCTCATTGGTACACAATCCCCCCGCACCTCCCCAAACCCCACCCCCTACTCCCAAATATAATCCACTCTGAAACCCTCATTGCATACTCCTACAATAAAAATAATGCCCTAAAATATAATACTTTTAGACTATTCTCTCCCCCATAGACTTCAATGCCGTAAACATATTTCATCCAGTTTTCAGTCACAAAGGTACAAATGCTATATCGTGCCACTGTTGTAGAATGAGGCTGGCATTGGGGTGGGGACTGAGAAAAACTGGATGTTTTGTTTTGTTTTTAGAAACCACCCCAGCATGGAATTTTTAGAGCTATTAATGTTAAACAGACTAATGTTATTAAGTGCATAATACTAATTATTGGCCAGCTAACTGCTGGGATTTTGTTTCTTCCCCAGTTCTCCCAAGGAAGAAAAAAATCTTAAATTGAATCTTCAGCAGAATAATCTTTAAACATACTTTGTAAGCAAAATGAGTGCTTTTGTTTACATAGTTGTTAGATTTTACTGTTCCTAATTTTATTCTGAAATTCAGTGTTACCTCAAACCATAATTACTGTATAAACTCTGTAATGCACAGTTGTCTATAATTCGGCAAAGCAGCAGTACACCATCAGGCTCTATTCACCAGGAGCTTAAGAAAGACAGGATTGGTCACACTCATTTCAAAACAAATCTACCCCATATTATTTGCCAATGCTTATTTTCGGTCTAACTTCTGACAGTGAAATATACGGATATAGTACTATGTATCTCATCTTGATTTTTCCAAAGTTGTCAAAGGTGTTCTTTACTGCTTCACTTTGCCAGGCTGAAGCTGAAGATTCTGTAGTTTCATAGCCATCCCCATAATGCCAGTGATTTTCAGTTTCCCTTGAAAGAAGGCTGACTGAGGATTCATCTTGCCAGTCATTAAAGCCACTAAATCCAAGTCTGCCATGGTGATTGTGCCTTCTTGTCTGAGTTAGGATGTACTGATCCTTTGCCATTCTTCACGTCCACTACCCAGGTGGCTTCTTTACCCCCAGGGCCATCCTTCATTTTAAAGGCGAAAATGCCACCGATTTTCTTCACAAACTGTTCTCCTTCCTCTTCAAGCTTCTTCTCAATTTCTTTAAAGACAAGATTGTCCTTAAATCCATCAGGAGCAGAGCTGGTTGGAACAGTCTCAATTTTATGGGTTCTAAAAGAATCAGCAGCTTCGGGGAAACCCATCTTGTAGAGTGTGACAACCACAGCTCCTCCAAGGCCTAAATTATGCTGCAGAGCAACCTTTGCGCGGGGAACTTGCCTTTTTCCGGCTTCCCCTCTCGGGTTGTTTTTTTTTAAGATTAATTTATTGATTAGAAGTAATACATCACTCCCCCCAACAACAAAATAACCACAACAAACTCCCCCTTCTCCATACACCAACTTAAAAATGAAGAACAAAATCCAACCCATCAAAAACTGTATTTACCATCCGACTCTGAAGTAGCTCGGATTATCAAGTAACTGCTAGGTAAAGGCTGAGTGATGGATCCAACTGCTTCACCTTTTGGACCCTTAAAGGAAAAAAAAGAAGTAAGATTTTGAAACATCAGTATTGTATTATTCTTTACTATGTACAATATGAATTACATATGGAGTATGATTTAAAGATAAGCCAATAAAGATAAAAGAATGTTTACAAATTTCAATCTTCTTGAGAAAGCAAATGATCATGCATTAGAGTTTCGCTCTTCTAAAACAATATTCCTTCTTTACAGTGAACGAGTAACATATACTTGAATAAATAGTAATTATCAGTTAATCATTTATCTATATTTACTCATTGTTAAACCTAAAATTTTCCATATGGTAGAAAAAAATTAACTTGTGAAAATTTCCACCGCAAGTATATTTTTAGCTAATAAATATTAAATTCTTTAAAACCCCTAAAGCACAAAATATAGATATAATATGCAAGAAAATGAGTAATGAATTTTGACTGAGTTTAAGGAAAAAGAATTCTTTCTCAAAGTCATAACTGATTTATACTTGTTTACGAGAAAACAATTAAAGGAGCTCCTTTCATTTTAGAGAACTAGGAAAAGACTTTTTTCTTTAAAAAATATAGCAGTATTCCTGCTATTGGCTAGGCTACTTGTTTAGAAGTATACAGCAACCAGAAAGTTACCGTAATTATTTTTACCAAGGCTAAAGTTAGGTGAACATAGTCTTCATATAAAAAGGAAATCTGAAGATTAGGTTTACAGTAGAATTTCAATTGGAAAAGGTTTTAAAAGGGTTCTTCAGATTAATATACCAAAAGATAAGAAAGATTTTTAAAAAGCATAAACATCAGGAAAATCAAAACAAGAAGTAAGAAAAAGAGGAATATGCCTTTCACTGATGGAATATGCCATTCATTGATGGGATGTTTTCAAAGAGCTTTATAACTCATAGCCCAGTTTATAGAATCAGTACAGAGTACGTACTGGAGTCACAGATTTTTCTCATTTCAAGCCTCGGTCTTGGCTAGAAAACTACTGAAGTGACCTTTTGAAGCCTAAATCTACTTTTACAATGGTGAATAACAGTATCTTCCGTAGAGGTATAAAAATGAAAGATTCTATAGGCATAGATCAATAGTAATTAATTTTATAAAATACAATGCATTATTATATGAAAGACATTGTAAATGAAAGATTGTATAACATATATAAAAATAAAGCACAATATATACAAATTACTGTATGCAAAGAAATAAAATACCTGGCACATGAAAGAACTCATAAACCTCAGAAAAAGACTTTCAAAATATCTAAACAATATCCTAGTACGCTTTGCTATTTTATAATATTCTGACATTCATACAGTTGTACAACTATCCTGTCCCTAGGCCCAATATTTAGAATGAAATAAATTTGATATTTTAAAATGTATTTTAATAATGTGCAAGTCATTATAACCTCTAAGATTAGTAGAGAAATTACTTGCATACAACTTATGTATATACTATACAAACACTTTATGTAAATACTAAAAGGAAGACTTGGTGATCAGTCATAAAGATTATAGTCCAGAAAACCCTTTGGAGCAGTTTCTACTCTGTCTTTCCTCTAAACGGTTGCTATGAGCTGGAATCAACTTGACAACAAATAACAACAATCTCAGCAAATAGTTTTTCTACATCTTTATTCAACTCTAACTAACCTTCTAAAAAGTAAAGAAATTATCACTGTGTAAAAACTTAAACCTAGACAAATTCAGTTAGTAGTTATGGTATTTATCTACTCTTGTACAATATCTTAATAATTAAAGAAGTCTTTCCATTTTCCTGTTTATGTTCCTCCTTTCATAACAGAGTCCCAATATATTTTTAGTCACTAAAAACACTAGCATTACACTTTCAGAAAGAAACTGCTTCCCTTAAATTAAGTTAATCCACGTCTGTTTACAAGGCTTTGCAGTAAAGTATATATATATATACATACAGACACACACACACACACACACACCATAGCTCAAGACAAATGGTAGTTTCTACTCTAGGGAATCTTGATAAAGAAAAAATTATTAATAGTAAATATGATACAACGTTATAAAGCAAAATCAGTAATTAGAAATTCAAGACAATATGGTGCAAACTGAGTCTCCACAGGGACAAAAGTAAAAATGTACAATATATATCTAAGAAGTATTTCCTAGAAATCTTAAAAAAATGTAAACAAAACCTTTTGGCATGTATTTCATTGTGGCCTGAGACAGAAAGGCAAAAAATGTGCTTAAAACAGGAACAAAGTTCCAGCAGAGGGGAGCAATGATTAAATTACAAATATTTTATCTCAACCTATTAGGAGACTGTCGAGCTTATTAAAACAAATTCTTACAGCAATGGACCACTTTGGAACTCTAGTGGTCTGTGGTCTGTTAGGGAGTTTTGCTGCTAATGCTCTCGCAGTTCTACTAGCAGCTCCTTGGTGAAAGATGGACAGTTTGCTCTGAGGCAATTTACAGTGTCTATATGGGTCAGCTAGACAGGAGTCAACTCCACCACAGCAACTTACCTTCACTGCCCAAATTGATTGCTCCAGTGGATGAAAAAGTTTGAAACAAAAGCCATCCTTTTTTGATGGACGCTCAATGATTTCACAGGCATTCAAGAGGACTGTTCCTACCCACTGACCATTTTTTTGGGTTTTATAGATCAGTAGCACCCCAGGTTTCAACACACACCACAACTTAGTCCAGCTCTTCAGAGTACCACGAATCTACAGAGAGAGTAAATTTATATAAGAAATAAAAATCTGTTTTTCACTTACTGTTCTAAAGATATAAACCAAATAATGGCAAAATAAATTCTTTAGCATTTTCACAAAATAATGGGAAAGATCCAGTGGGGACCTGAAAAAAACAAGGTGATAGTGGGCAGAGTGCAACAATGATTAACTTTATAAAACACAGTGTATGGAAATTATTGTATGAAACATAATGAAGGAAAGTGTGAAAAACACACGTGCGCACACACACCCATGCACCACTATGTACACGAATGAAACAAAATGTATATGAATAATTATATGCATACAGTAAAAAAAAAAGGTAAAAAAGATACTAAAAAAAATAGAAAAGACAATAATAATAATAAAAAAAATTTCACAGAATTATATTTCACATTCAATAGCTACTTTAAAATAGTCACTAAGTGGCAAATACCACACATAAAAACGAATAGGATATGGCTCTGGAGTCTAAGGAATTAGAATTCTAGCAGGAGACTTGGGTGCATAGTTTGAAAAGAATGTATAAGTAGAATGGTTTTCTTAGTCTTCCTTACTAGTTTAGGAACAATTCAAATATACTGGAGGCACAGTCTGTAGCTAGCTGTACTCCTAACAAAGGATTCATCCATCAGTGGCTTAGCAGGAGAAGGGCTGGAAGTCTCCTCTCATTGAGATTTACAGCCTGGGAAATGTAATGCAGGGTTGCTATGAGTCAAAATTAACTTCACAACAGTGAGTTATGAGATCTCAGTACTAATACTGTCCTTTTTAATGGCATAGGTCTATGTTTATTTTACCTTACAGTGCAGAAGACACTAGCTGGTGCCTATCAAGCATTCCTTGATTTTTAAGAAAAAGGAAGAATCCACTGTTAAACTCTAAAACTGCTTCTCTAAATTACTTTGTTCTTAGTTATTACAAAGTGTGCTTTATAAATTCTTGGGTAAAAATTTTAAAATACAAATTATATGAGGCCTTTATTCATTCCTCTTACAAAATGTCCATAATCCTAGGATTCAGTACTATGCCACTAAGGAAACTATAAATAGTATTTTCTATCAACCTATATTTCTGTAATCCATTAAAATAGTTTATATTCAAGCCATTGAATGAATAATTAAGAATGCTAATATTTAGATTAAAATATGAATTCTCCTCACATATTCACTATAAAAGATCTGTTGCTATAATGTACTGTGATGTACTATGAAATAAATAGGACCTCTTTATTTCAAAATGAGTCAAAGTGTAGTAACATATATACACACACACAAAAAAAAAGTAAAAAAAAAAAATTAGAGGAGTTGTGACACTGCTGGGGGATAGTAGTAGCAAGTGTTCCAGGCTTGTGTGGTTATTTTTGGTAGAGGGTGAGGAGGTTTGAGTCTTGGAAAACAGCAAGTGCTAAAACTTCCTGAGAGTCAAAGATTTCACAAAATAACTCTGAAAGTTAGCATTAAGGGTTCTTTTTTAAAAAAATTATCATTTATCGTCTTCAGAAAAGAATGAGAAAGAGAACAGTGACTCGGACAAGATTTAAGGAGGGGGAAGTGGGGGAAAAGGAGACTGAAAAAATAGAGCACAAAGAGAAGATGTAACGGACCATGTTTTTCAAATGACAACTTTTACATTAACTTTTTCTCATGTCAAGAAGACAAAGATTCTCACCACTGGACCAATTGGCAGCATCAGGATGGATGGTGAAGAGATTGAGATTGTACACAGCTTTAGTTTGCTTGGCTCCACAGTCAACACTCTTGACACCAGTAGCCAGGAAATTAAAAGGGGCATTGCCATGGGAAAGTCAGCTGTTAGGGACCTCTCCAAAGTACTGAAGAGCAATGGTGTCTCTCTGGAGACAAAGGTGCGTTTGATACAGGCCATGGTCTTCACACTCACTTGTTATGCATCAGAGAGTTGGATATTGACCAAGGAGGATAGAAGGAGAATTGATGCCTTTGAGCTGTGGTGCTGGAGAAGAGTATTGAGAATACCGTGGACTGCTAGGAAAACAAGATTCATCCTGGAAAGAGTTAAACCGGGTGGCTCCTTGGAGGCAAGGACTCTGAGGCTCCGTCTAACATACTTTGGACATGCTGTGAGGAGAGACCAGTCCTTGGAGAGGGACATCATGCTTGGGAGGTTGGAGGGACGGCATAGGAGGGGAAGGCCCTCTATGAGGTGGATTGATTCAGTGACTGGGATAATTGGGATGGGAGTGTCAAGAGACAGTGCAACTGGCACAGGACAGAGCAGAGTTTAGGGCTGTTGTACACGGGGTCACTATGAGTCGCAAGCGACTCGACGGCACATAACAACAACAACAACATGTCTTAATTATGCATATACCAAATCTAAAATATTAAATCATACTTTAAAGAGAAGGGAAAAAGTAAGAACATTTTATAGATAATGCTATATAGATCAAACTTTTTAAAACAATGGCTACATATATTTGGTGCTACCATCAAGAGAGACAACATTAAAATGGTTCATCATCTTCTCCATTAAGACTGAAGCACAGAACCACTGGGATATAGTGAACAGCTTCTTAGCAGTGCAAAAACAATCACTTCAGGAGTAGTTTTTTGCCTTGTGGGTTTTAGGAACTTACTTGAACACTCAGAGATTTCATATTCTAATAACTAAACAAACATTAAATAAAGCCCTGGTTGTATAATGGTTAAACAGTTGTCTGCTAACCTAAGTTAGCAGTTTGAACCCACCAGATGTTCTGTGGGGGAAAAAGAGGTTACTGCCTTGGAAACCGTATGGAGCAGTCTATTCTGTCCCCTTGGGTTACTATCAGTAAGAAGCAACTCAACAGCAATGAGGCTAAACATTTTACAATTTGAATTCAAGATGTAACAAAAACTGACCTTCAACCAATCAGCCATAACAATAACAGAAGGGTCTGTGATTGTACTGAGTAACTCCTTTGTAGCTCTTTTCTTTTCTTCTCGGTAATTTTTCTTTTGCACCTAATTTTGCAGACATAAGAGGGAAAAAAGTAAAAATCAATAGAAATGGGTTTTCTGTCCCAGTTTTTTAGATATATAAGGAATACTGTTCAAAACTACACTTTTTAAGAATTGTAGTATCTTAGGATGTAATAACTAGTTTTAAGACTGAAAAATTCATAGAGAACCAAGTTCTAGTTGGCCTGATCACAGTACCTTTTTTTAATTATTATTTGTGTGTGTGTGTGTGTGTGTGT